CAGTGCAAATTATGTGTAATTTTTTCCAAAAGCATAGAGTTTAGTATATGGATATCAATAAATTATGGATTATTTCTCATCTAATTTTCTTAACATTTTTATTCCAGAATTTTCCTTTCACACTTTAGTGTTTAACTTTATACCTTTTGTATAATAATTTACATTTGTTTATAATTTTACTCGAATGAAAGTGATTATTTAATTTTATAAGCTTTGCTGAAAGCTAAACGAGAAAACAAAATTCTATCACTTGCGGTCAAGAGAGTATTTGATGTAATAATTCTTATATATTTTCTTTGATAGTTTTTATTTAATTTCTTTCAGTTATGCATTACTACATAGTTCTTTTCAAAAAATATTTTTCTGTGCCGCTATGTCCGTATTTCAGTTTCAAGGAATGCGTGCTCCGTGTAGGGTATATAATGCTTAATAAACTTATGATATGAAAGATATCTAAATTCTCTTCTCATTTCTACGGTATTTTTTAAATTTCAACCCCTAAGAAATTTACTCTAGAAATCGTTTTCATGATTTAATATTTTATACTTATTTATTTTATTCATACTTTAGCATTTTCTTTAAGTTTATCCTTTATCATGCTAACCTGTTTTTAAATATTTTTCTCAGCAAATATTCAGAAGCAAATATATTTTTCACCAAGATAGTCAAAGAATCGTTCGGAACTGATTGAAAATTTAGTTATTTAAGTAATATACACTGACTTCCGGTTGTAGGGGTGAAAAAGGTCAGAGCCAATAGTTGTGCTCATGAAGAATGCCTTGTAGCCCCACATGTTGTTACAAAGATGAATTTAATGCCTGAAAGAGTATTACGAAAGTCCTCTGAAAATTTCTTTTGTGTTACAGAGCAATTAACAAAAGTAAATCTAAAGTGATGTATAAAAGAAATTAAACAAACAAAAAAGAAACGATTTTTCACAGACAATTCAGTGTTTCTCATCATTTAATTCAGTTCTTACTTCACGACAAGGCAAAAATACATAAAAACTCAAAATATCTGTATTAATTACGAAGTAAATTTTAAACACTTAGTTCCTGGAATAAATTCCAGAAAAAATTAAGCATGACTTAATTCGCAATAATAATAAAAGAAGGCGTTATCTTTGTTGTTGTCAAAGCATAGTTTCCCTAGATGGGCAACAAATCCACTGTTCATTTATATAAAATATATTTCTTTATTTTTATTTTCCTCTTGGCTACAGTTGGCTTCGAAAAATAAAATTGTAACCCTGTAGGCAACGGGGGAAAGAAATTTTGATCGGCGCAGTTGGACTATAGCAGGACGAGGGGGGGATTTTCATCAGCGCAGTTGGAGTACACACCTTTAGAATTTCCGATACAGAGTCTCGCGCGTTGAAGATAAAAATGTTTTTTCTGTACAGCGTTGCCATTGCTCGCTTTGAAATCCCTGAGTTTGTTAATAAAAAATTCGTTAAAGTTTTACAAAATAAGGAATCGCTAATAAAACAAATTCCAAATTTGGGCTTCCACATGCCCATATTCGCAGTAGGATTACGTCATTCAAAATTCGATGGCTCTATGTACCGTTGTTTTATCACAATGCGAGAAATATACATACATTTACGCAGATTTTTCTTTATTTAATTTCTTCAAATGTAATGCAGGATTCTAACATTTGGTGGCAACAGTTTGAAGAGGGAAGCGGACATATAGCGAACCAACGCAAAACGAAAACAATAGTTCTTCAGGGACAAAGTCCCTTTGGACTAATAATAAATTCGAAATTCAAAATTCGGACTTCTAGGTGCCCATATTCAAATGGAGGACTATATTGTTTAAAACCTGATTGCTCTAGGTACCGTTGTTTTTTCACACTGAGAGAAATATGCATACATTCATGCAGATTCTTCATCACTGAATTTCTTTAAACATAATACAGGGCGATAATATTTGGTGGCAACAATTTGAAAAGCGATACTCCGTTTATAGTGATTCAACGCAAAATACTGTTTCGAGACTAATATCCCCTTACTCCTAAACCATTTCTTGTTGTCTTTTTAACTTTATTATTAAGCACCATTTTCTTCGCGCTTATGCCATATACAATTCAACAACAAAATTACGAACATTTTAAAAGCAGCACAGCAGGATAAGTTTTGAATTTCCGATGTTTTACAGTTTCGCTTAGAGCTTGCCAGTGGAACGCGCACGCGTACGCGAACACACAAACGAACAAAAAAGAAAAAAAAAAAAAAGTTTTACAGATAAATGTTGACATGCACTTTTATATTTTTTTCAGTCTTTTCTCTATTAATGTGATATTCAGTTTTCTTAGTAAGATGGCTTGCAAAACCTTTCTTTATCTTTTTATTATTAACGTTTTGTGCTTGAATTTTATTGATTAAATATCACGTTCTTCACACTTACCCGATAAACAATTCAAATCAACAGCAAAATCCAAAAATATTTAAAAACAGCACACTACCAGAATATCCGATCGACAGTCTCGCTGAAGTTTAAAATGTTTATTAATCAAAAATTCGTTAAAGGTTTACAAAATTTGAAGTTTATAATTCGACATTCAAAATTTGACTTCCAGGTGCACACGTTCGGGTGGAGGATTACGTTATTTAAAATTAGATGGCCCTAGGAACCGTAGTTTTCTCATAATTTTTTCATCAATTCAAATCAACAGCAAAATTCATTATTTAATTTCTTTAAAAATAATACAAGATGATAATATTTCGTGGCAACAACTTGAGAAGCGATTCGTTGTTTATAGTGGATGACGAAAAATCTCATTTCAAGACTAATGGCCCCTTCGGAATAACGCTCTTTTAGAATGAATAAGTTAATTTATAATCAACAGCAGTTTCAGGCTATTAACTGAAATGGTAAAATATGTATGTAGCTCCACTTACAAAATTTCAAGAGAAAACCTGACAAGAACTCATGTTGACCAAGATCCATTTACGTAAAGTAAAAAAGTCTTGATACTGATCCACTTATTATATTTGAGATTTTGGCAGCATTAGGGAAAAGTTCCAAAAAACAGTTTCTTTCTTTATTATTATTATTATTTTTGTTTGCAGTTTTTAATATGATTTCATTTATCTGCATAAATGTTTTTTTTTTTTTCCATCTCAAAACAAAATGATAATTATTCTTGGTTTTGAACAGAATAAAGACTCTCAGCTGGACAATACGATCATCCCGGAAGCATTATATTAATCAAAGCTCCATTGCATTATTCAGGGAAAAAGTTCTTTATATCGTTCATAGAAACCTTCAAAAATCATGTAACCTCCAGAATATTGCAGCAACCAGATGTTGACGCTTCAAAGCAGGGTGACGTGGAACTAGGAACGTTGCTAAGTGCGACGAAAGACTGACGAAACGGGAACTCAATATTTCATCAGCCAATAAGAAAACGCCACGCGTTCTCAATTTCTGTCATTCTGGTGTTTATCGTTGTCGATGCAGGTTGTGTGTTTGCGAAGGCGCCTGTAATTTAACGATATTTTAAAAAACTAATGTCAAGATGCCACAGTTAAGAAAGTTAACAGCACTGTCGGGTAGTATATTACCAAAAATTGAATTTCATTCGAAAAATACGTTTAATTCATATCCAGTAGATCAACATCTGCTATCCCCATCTTATTTATCGATGCTTGTAGATCGAGACAGATCTTTAATAACTACTAGCGAACCAGAAAGTGATGGATCTGAACCCACACAAACTCGACCAAGAAAAAGACAACGGTTGGATCATTTATCTCAAGAAGAGAAAATTTTGCGCAGGTATATATATTTATTTTCAAGCATTTTTATTACGCAATCTTGGTACGGATATATAACAATTGAATTACGTGTGTGTTAGTTAGGCATTCATAGTTATGTACATGTTTGTGGGTATATTTTGCATTATGTAAGGTTTTGTACTAATTGTATGACATTTTCATAACGTATATACTATTCATTTGGTGGACGTGTTGAAACTGAAATTTTTAAATCACGCCTGTTTGAAAGTGTACCGGAAGTTTGTATACTCGAGCAAACCTGATAGCTGCCGCTTGTTATCGGCTAAAATTAATGAAGGATTTCCTTCCAAATATAATAATCTGTCCTTTATAACCAAGAAACATGCTTATAATATTCCAAACTGCCGTTTATGTATTTTAGTTGAATTAAATGCTTTACTTTGCATTATTAATAAACTGAAATAGTTATGTGATTATTTTAAATTTTCTAGCTTCTTAGTAAATTTTTAAAGAAATTGTGATTTCATTTCGAATTTTAGTACATTTTAATGACATTTTGTCTGTTTTTGATTGACCGTATGTTATACTTTTGCAGTAGTACAGATAAGGTACCCTCCTTTAACTACAGTATTGCAGCCGTATTTACACTGGGTGCAATTTCAGATGGATTAAGAGTTTGAGCTTTTTTTGGGGGGGGGCATAGGGGCCGTGTATATATGTACTAGTGTTGAAAAACGTGAATTTCTGAGAGAATACAGTTTTTTACTGACATATTGTGTTTGTTGGGGAAGACTCAGATAACCGGCACTTGGCGCAATTTTTTCCGCCATCTTGAATCGGCGAAAATCGCCAAATCCTCGGAAGGATTTTTTTGACGCCAAGAGGGAAATGACGTCAAAAGACGCTTTCCAAAATTTCCCTCCTGAGCCGGACATAGGGGAGAAACCGGTGCTAGGCGAAAATCGCCTGAGGCTAAATACAATAACGCGTTTGCGTTAAAAAGGTAAACAATGTACATAAAATTAATTTAGTTGTTGATATGTTAAAGTTAATCTACATACATGTTTTCACCTTAGTATTTTAGATGAAGATATATATAACTCCAACATTATTACCCTTAATACTTCTCTTTTTTTTTAATTCTGACCATTAATTTCTACACTTATCTATAATAATAGTTAAATATGTTTGAAAACATGTTCTTCATATAAATGCAGTAAAGATTATGCAAATGGAATATTTATCACGTAAGTAACGTTAAAAATTTTAAAAGATAAAATATACATGAGTATATTATTTGGAGATACTCAGATAACTCGGATGACATTTTATTTTGATGAACTAAACCGTTCATTATAGATTTACTTTTACTCTCTATATTAAAATAAACTTATGTTAGCATTTTATATAGAATAAATATCTTATATAAAATTATCCATTCATATTATATTACCAACAAATTTATAATAAAATATATGAATGAATGAATGCAAAAATAGGTACAAGAATTTTAACTTACCCCATTGCAGTTGTGCATAACGTATTGTATATCCTTTTATTATATTCTTGTTGATATTTGCAGTTCTTCTAAAAAACAGTTTCTTGAAATATTAACATCTGAGGTTCGTGTTTTGAAATAATTAATCCAAATCACTTTGTTGTACACTTATGAAATGTTCACACTGCATGCAACACAAATCTAGTAGTTATAATCCCTGTCTTGCACTATCCTCCTCATATCAGGTCACACACTCAGAGTCATACTTAACATTCTTAAAAACTGACTGGCTTCAGCATCTGTTTAAAATATTCCATAATTAAAAAGGTGGGGATAAATAGATTCCATTTCCACATCACCTTAGAAGTAGGTTTGCACTTGCTTTAAAAAAACAGAAACTGTAAAATACTCTTAAAGAAGCATGCTAAATATTTCAATTGTTACTTTTAAGTATTAATTTCAGTTTTAAGGAAATGAAAGTTGAATTATAATCATGAAGAAATTGGTTATTGCGAAGCATGACATGCATAACAAATTAAGCAATATGATACGTTAAATATTTAAAAATTTTGAAAGTAATTATGTCTGTACATCAAGTGCAAACCTACATCAGGAGGTAGGAATCGTGATGCGTTTTTTTTTTTTTTTTTTTTTTTTTACGGAGGTGTCGCCAAGAGCCATAATCCTCCGAACCTGAAAAATTCAAAAACCAAGGGAGGCAAAAAATGTTTTTTTAAGTATAACAGTCAAGATATTATAAAAATGAAATCACTGTTACAAGAAAAATAAGATACATAATAAAGAAATAATATATACAAATAGGGTGTTTACATATTTTTAGAATAATTTTGATCAGAATTTTAAAAAAAATCACACGTGGACTGTTGTGCCTTTAATCTCATAAAGAGCTAAGCTTTCCTAAGTGCAAAGCCATCACAACAGATGGAATCTGGAAAGTTATGGACGAGGAATAAAAATCAATACCCATGGAAATATTATGAAAAGCCCTTCTTTCGGAGAAATCATGGGCATTTTCTGGGCAGGCTTGCCGGAAAAAAAGCTATCATATTGAACATATAAAAAAATACTCTTTACATTTTAAACATAATTAAATGGCCCCCAAATTGTTCTAAAAATGTGTAAATGCCTTCTTTTGTATATATTTACATTTAGTACTTACCAAAAATACTTAGGAAATAAATTACATTTTCGAACCTGTAATTCTGCTGTATTTATTTATGAAAGGGCTGCAGGATTTTTAATTTCCATACTCTGAAATGCAATTGAAAAACATGCACTTATTACTTTTTTTGCAAAGCTCTTTCTATATATATATACAGGGCGTAACAGAATTTATATCACAAGTTTAAGGGATGACAGAACATGGCAAACTTAATAATTTTCAGTATACATTGTCAAATGTCATCACAGGAACACAATAGTATGGAGGATGAAAGATTTTCTTATTGATGGTTATTTACAAGAATTGTTAAAATTAAAAATGGTCAACTGCAATATATAAATCACAACACTGAAGAACCAAGGCATAGACTTTAAAAGATGCCCACATCAAGTACTCTTGAATTAACACCAATTGTGCTGATACATTTTTCAAGAGAATCAATATATGTCTCTTAAAAGAAATCCGTCATAGTTGTGGTGCATGTATCACCGTGCAGTTGCTACTTGTACTTTTGAACAGCTGTTGTTAATACCAAATGCTATTTTTAGTAATTATCTGCTTTTAAAAAGCTGTCTGACTTCTGCATTTACATTGCATTGTTTTATGCAAACTGTCTTTTTTGCCATGGTTTATCAGCCTTTAAAGCTGTCATATTTATTGCTAAATGTAAGCAGATAATAATAAAAATGCTATATCTTATTGTTTACTTTTTATGATGCATTTTAGAAAAAGAATCAAGTTCTTAAAATAAATTAAAATGAAAAATTGCTTATTCTTACCCCACATATCATCACCATCTTCAATAAACTGCATTTCATCATCTTGACGGGCAGCTTTTTTCGGTGGCATTAAATCTTCAATATCCTCACTTTGTACTGTTGGCTCATTTATAAATTTCAACTCTAAACCATTTTTTCCATAGCCAGGATATACAGTTTTAATATCTTGTAGGAACTGGTAAATTTTTTTCGCCCGGATATTGAAATTGCTTCAAACGAAAACGCTTGTAATAATGAAGGGCCATATACTGTATCAGACTTTGATCATTGCGTCTATTAACAATTGTTCTTTTAAAAATTTTGTTTTCATTTTCTAACTGATTTATCGTATTGAATTTATCCTTTTTAGCTACAAATTCACCTGTAATGGAAATATGTCAATAAGCTTTTGTGTAGATTCTTGAGGAAATTATTTAACATTAGAAAATTTCTTCATAAACATATTTTTTTAACAAGCTGACTGTAACCGATTAACCAATCATGACCTGTAAAATAATTATTCACAAATTGTTAACTTATTAATATATTCAGATATGAAAACAAAGTGATTTAATTACCTCTGCTGTGATTTGTTGTCTTGTGAACAGCTCCAGAGAACATGCTTTCTACATTTTTATACTGTTTAGCTGAATCGGTACAAATGACTGAAGTTTCTGGATGAACATGACGCTTTATATATGGCCATATATCTCGCTTGCTTTTCCCATTAACTCTAAAAAACAGCCCTTCTTTGTCTTCTCGACAATATATTCCTAAAACAGTTATTGTCATGTTTTTGGTAACCCGCCCTCTGTTATACTTACGCTTGGTAAGAAATGTCTCATCAACTAAAATGGTTTTACCTGCAAGGCAAATAAAAGGTAAATGAAACATATTATCACAATTTTGCAATAAAATGGCGTCTACCAGGCGAGCAAACTATTTTCATAATCTTCACCATGTGTAAATTGATTATAAGCCAGTTTCCCTCAAAACGTCCTTCACAATGGCATTCCTCCTTTTACACAGATAGCCCTTTTGACTTTAATATGTTAAAATGTCCTAACGTAACTTAACCTGCAGCTTTCGTTTCGTCCACACGAATTCTCCTGCATAACTAGGCAAGCAACTTTCCACCAACCAATTCCCAGCTCAATTACATCTTGAACAGTCGATAACATTTCCATTTTATGATTTCTATCATCTGCAATTTGAAGCATTGCAACTGGAATATTTGCTGTTCTTCGGCAAACTGAAAATTAAATAAAAATGTTTATTATATTTTAACAATTGGCATCTTTCTGGAACTATTATTTCGGAACATCTGCAGTATTCTAAAGAAAGCATCACTGCAGTGTATTGTTAGCAGTGCATCTGTAAGTATTGGCTAATACATAAGTACCCTGAAATATAACTAATTATTATTTACATTATAGGAATGCAATAAAGGGCTATTTGCCTAAAAGGAGAGGTGCCTTCATGGAGTACTTTTTAGGGGAACTTACTTGTATTCATGTTACACATGGTGAAAACTGTGAATACTCTTGGGAGCGAAGCCAGCCTGTTTGCTAGGATCTTCATTACGGTTAAACTACGAGTATTCAGTCATTTTATCACTCGACTGGTAAGGGACTTAAAATATAAGGTAATGCATATCTCATTAAAAGTTGAATTAAATACATGGCTCAGTTAATTTGTGAGACAAAATAAATACAGAAAAAAATTAAGAATCCTTTACCTGCTCCACCAAGTTGTGTGTACTGTGATGAGAGGCAAATACCTCACAGATTTCTCTACAATAGGACATAAAGTCGCATATTGTTTCGTCGCGTCGCGTATTTCTGGCAACTTCTGCTCTTTCCTCCATGACATAAAATTCATCTTTATAAACGTGAAATTCATCTCCAGTACAAAGAGGAATATGAAGACCATGCACTCCCTGACTGGAACTTTGGTCCCCTCAAAAAATGTGCCTGCAACGGGGTTAACCATTCCTGGACACTTGCCTCTATTCCTGTTGCTGCAAATCCATCTCCAGCCAAGTTTTGCTTCTTTCCTGGAATTGGCATTCATCTTATGACCACATTTTGGGCAAGGTGGGGCCTCCTCTTTTTTCGGAAGCAAGCCAGCTTCTGTTGCTAAAATAACTGCCTTTTCTTCATCATTAATCAATGACATTCCTGTCATCATGTTGAAGTATTTCAATTTCTGCATTAATGATGAAGTAGCCATAGCAAAGAAAAAATAGAACCTAACAAAATGAAATTAAATAAATCAAATCAAATATTAAACTAAATGTATTATTTTTAAATTAAAAAAGATGTTAAATTTAAGCTAACAATATATCAAACTAAAACACTGATAACATACAGGAATAAAGGCTTAGTAGTACAGGGAAAAAAATGCAGAAATAAATATTAATAACTTCTGAAATATGAAGAAATTACAAATATTCCTAAGTTACAGAAATAAAAATTTTAATATAAATAAAAATTAGTAATTCAAATATGCAAATATCAATAGATGCAAATAGATAAAAATTTAATTGAAAAAATACTTGCTTTGGCAGGTGATTCCTTTTGAAGTGATACACACAGGGCACTCAACCAAAATGATGTAGGTTCAGAGTTGAGAGGTCAAAGTTCGCGGAGTTTTGCGCCTACGTCATTTCGCAAAAAATCGATTCCATGTAAATAATCAAAATTTCGTAGAAAAATTTGTTTGATCAAAATTACTTGCATAAACAGTAAAAATGTATATAAACGTATTTTATATTTTTATTTGTTAACATAATTTTGCATTAATAAGTAGCAGATATTTTTTCAATAATAAAAGTTTTTGCAAAAATTAAATTTGATAGACGACTGTGTGAAGAAAAAGTGTTCCTTTTTTAATATGTGTGTCTTTAATGTTGTTTATAAATGAACTGAATGAAAAGGTTATCTGAATTTTGTAAGTAAATCGGCAATAAATTGGATACCACTGTGGCGACATCATTCGTGTTAATGAAGCCTTAATGCAAATACTGTACCAACCCGATGACTGATTTTTTGTCTGTGTGATTCTATATCTAAAAAATGTAAACAAATATTAATCTTATTGGAGTAAGAGCAATGTTTAACATTTCCTATGTTCAAGACATGCACAACCACAAAGCGAATCCAGTGCAGCTTAACCGTAACCGTTCATTGAAATAATCTTGACTTAACCAAAAGACTTTGTCTGTCTGTCTGTATGTCTGTCGTGACATCTGTCTCTCTCTCTCCCTCCTTTTTTTTTTTAATTTTCGCGTTTTTTTTTACAGGTTTTTCAAAAACCAGCATCTTTTGAATTTATTAGCACGGAAGCAGAATTTTTTCCCCTTCGTCTTGAAACAAGAAAATAGTTTTAATGTAGGTAAACAAAGAAATGTAATCCTGAATTGCATACTGCAGGGAAACAAGATTTCTAACAATATATTTCGGTTATGTATTTGTTGCAAATACGGTGATGCAAAACTTTCAATATGTATATTCATTACCATTAAAAACTAACATGAGTAACAACACAGCAGAAAAAACTATGAAGATAAATCGTATTCAAAGGTTTGAAGATATAAATTTAATTAACTTTTATTTGTTTATCTAAGAAAGAATTTTGCTCATGTTTTGTTTAATAGTTTAAATTTTTTACTCATACACCGAATTTTAATCCGCAAAATCCTCTATGTAAAGAAATCAGTGAAATATCCTTGACATAGAAAAGTAGCAGAATATTGTTTCTTTAATATTTTACATTAACTTATTAGCATTTCAAAGTCTTATAAGTTTTTTATTTTGATATAAACTTGATGAGAAGGGATTAAAAAATTGCTTGTATGATACAGAGTGTCTGTCAGCGAGATAGCGGTAAAACTGTTGCACCCTAGTAGTTCGTCTTGGAGTTAAGTTCCGACTAACGGATTTCCGCCATCTTGTGCAAATAACCCGCGAGTGCTTTTCTTATTCTAAATAATTCGTGTTAGGAGTACAATTAATTTATTTAGAAATTAATTCCAGTTTGTTATAGCTAGATAAATAACATATACTTAAATATTAAGTAAATAATTTTAAAAAATGTGTCAATGCGAACGATAAGTTAGGAAAAGACCATATGTTATCTACTTTGTTTTATTAGGATAATTAATTTATAAGGTCATTAAGTTGTTTAGAAAATAATTTATAAGGTAATTAAACGACAACTGGGAGCCCGTCTCCTGAACTTCTTAGTTTCTGGGATAAACCACAATTCATATTTAATTTAATAATAATTATTAATGAAATATAATTAATTAATCATATTTAATTTCTTATTTATTAATGAAATATAAATAATTAATCATATATAATTTCTTAATTATTAATGAAATCTAATTAATTAATCATATTTAATTTATTAATTATTAATGAAATATAATTAAATAATCATTTTAATTTGATAATTATTAACATTTTTAATTTGATTGATTATTTAATTTTTAAGTCATTAATAATTTTAATAGTAATCTAAAAATACAACAAACAGCTTATGAGCGTATTCACCACGTCTACTGACAAAGTCACGTGATCAACACGAAGATTCATCTGCAGAGTCGCATGACAGCCGAAGTAAGGCGTAAGAAAATATCCCTTCCCTTTTCCCTTTCTCCCTAGCTTAGTGAAGGTTTAAACTTGCAACCTGAACTGTCCTCCCACTGTTTGGCGCCTATCGCTCAAGTAGGTGAACGCGATTTCTGGAAGTTCGCCAAGTGCCGGTTATCTGAGTATACCATCATTTGATGCTAATATCATGTGAAATGTATATCGGCGGCATTTTCTTATACTATGGCTGAACTTTCCAACCATTCACGAGATAGAAATACAAAGTACTGAAATAAAATAAAATAGCAGTTTAATTACTAGAAGTACAGTCCCTTTCACGAAACTCTTTACATCCGTAGGCGCTGCAGCGAATAACCATTTTTACTTAAATTTTATGTGACCAAGCAGAGCAGCAGTCTTTCGTCCCATAGAAAGCAATGTAAAGTATTTCCGGACTTTCGGAATTCGCGCAGCAGTCACGTGACACTAATGTTGGAACCGGTTTTGAAGGTTGCAATACGCTCTCTACCAGTATACTATCTCGTTGGTCCAAACGAGTACGCTTGCAAAGAGTGCGCTTAACCAATCGAATTATTTTGCGCAAAAATCACGTGGCGCTTAATATAGCGTCAACGGAGCTGTATCTTGTTACTTCGCTCTGCTTCTATAGTATATGTTTGCGACAAGTTGAGATCAGATGATTTTTTGATAGTTGAAATTTTACTTTATTAAGCAGAGGCAAAACCGCAAAAAAATGACGAGAATGGTTCTGAAAGATTTATATAGAGAGACCTGTTCAAAGAGGGTTTTTTTTTCCTTTACTGCCTCGTTTGCGAAATGAATATCCGGAATTATTAAATTCCTACTATTAGCTCACACTTTCCGTATATCTTGTTCAAATTTTCAGTCGTTAATAAAATACTTTTTTTTCATCCACTCAAGTTCAAATACAATTTTTTAAACTTGTAGTGGATGACACTTGACAAGACAGCTTTGACTTGTTAAGACAGCTTTTTCACATATTAAAATTTTTAATTAAAAAAATTCTGTTTGTATTTTAAATTGTTTTTGTATTTTTTTTAAATTTTTCTTTGTGGACCTAAGTAGGAATTATTTTTTTTGTATATTAATTGTTTTTAATATACAGATATTTTAATTTTAATACAGGGTGCGGCAAGTAAAATCGGCCCGTCGTAATATCATAACATATTGCGTTTTTGGCGACAATTAAATTATTTTCAGCTACCTACCAATTATTCTTTATGGCGCGCTGAGCCGGGTCGGGACATGTGCCTCGCAGAACGGAGACGCTACTCAGAGTTAGCTTTCTGCACAAATGCAGTGGAATAAGACTTGCTTAAAGGCAGCTTCTGGAATTCTCAGATGCTTTCTTCAGTAAAAGCAGATCGCTGTGTACGTGAAAAGAACAGTGCAAAAAACCAAGAAGAATGTATCTCTTATATTGAAAAAATAAAAAAAATAGGTA